GTACCAAATCTGCCTTGTGAGCTATCATGTGACAACCGCGAACACACTGGTCAATGGTGTCATTGTAAAATCTCCGTGACAGCATCAGCTGGCAAGTCATAAATTCTCTCCCGGTGATGTCATTGGAACGTGTGTAAAACCCGACGGCCTAGCCCTGGTCAAGGCAATGGACAGGTTTGTCCTAGACAAAGGACTGCGGATTGGCTTGGCTGACCAGCCTGATGCTCAGGCTGAGACAATGATGGGGCACTGGCATAAAAGCTAAACAAAGCCATCAAGCTAACGAGGGGAGGAGGTAACGACGCACCCAACACCAGCGTGAAAGCTTCCCTGCCCGGGAGGAGAAAAGGGACTTCATCTGCGACCGCACCGCAGCGGTTAACTGGATGATAAAGACAGGGAGGCGGAACCGCAAATGCCAGGCAGGTCAATGAACTGATTGCAGACAATATGACTGTCGTAAAAGAGGAGCTAGTCAGCTCGCTTATGAGCGCTAATGGTGATGAATATTGTAACATGTCTGTATTAACACTAGGGGAGGAATTATGGCTCCTCACTGGTATTACACCGTAAAGTCTGGCCCCAAAGGCTGTCTCCCAGACAGGAGGGAAGGCAGCTGCTACCTGTCGCCAGTGAAATTAACAAAAGTGAGGCCAAACCCAATGCAAACTCCATTTATATACTAATGGGCAGGGGTGGGAAGTCCCCAGGCAGGGGAGAACAGCGGGGATCAGCCCGAGTCTGGGGACAAAACAGTGAGTTTAGGACGATAGACGAAGCCATCCGGACAGATGCAAGGGGCCACAGCTCTTGCAAGCCCAGACAGATGGACAGGGCCGGCTCTAGGCACCAGCAAACCAATGTGCTTGGGGCGGCACATTTTCAGGGGTGGCATTCCGGTCACCTTTTTTATTTTTTTGCTTCAGGCTGGCCCTGACAGCAGCTGTGCCTCATGCGTGGGGGGCACCCAGGGGCCGCTGCGGTTCACGCTGCGGGGGAGCAGCGCCCGCACCTTGTGGCTGGGCCGGGCAGGCTCCGAGTGGGGGACACGCGGGCTGGGGGCCACCCCTCGGGGCACACGGAGCCGCCTGCAGATGCCGCAGGGTGGCCGCCCCCCAGTGCTGCAGCCGGGGCTGGGCGAAGCAGCCTGAGCCGCCCAGGGGCTGCAGCAGGGTGGCCAGAAGCAGCAGCGGGGCCATAGAGGGCAGGGTGCTGCCGTGTGGGGCCCGCGTCCCGCTCTCTGGGGCTCCGCTCCCTCTGGGGCTACCCTGCCCTGGCTCCTCAGCCTCCTGCCGGGGCTGTCCCCCGGCTCCTCAGCCCTCTGCCCTCCCGGGTCCGGCCGGTCCTGGAG